ATATATATATATGTTGTTAATAAAATAATAAACTTATATTTATTTAAAACAATATATATATAAATTGTTGATTTTAAAGTACATATCCAGAGTGAATTAGTAAAGGGAAACATTTAAACATTTGCTTGCATCCTAATTGAAAACAATCTTCAAACATTTCTGTTCCAAATGAATTTATATCCTTGCTCAAGTTTATTTAGTTATTTTTAACGTTATAAATTTATAATATTTTTAACGTAAGTTATTTTTAACGTCATAAAAATGTTTTAATTTATTTTGTAATGCAAACAAAGTTGTGTAAAGCCAGAAATTGGATTAAGGCCATTAAGTAGTATGCTTTTAATTCAATTACCGTAGAAGTAAACAAATTTTATGGTCGTCTTTACGATCACGCTTCGGATTACCCTTCATTATTTCGCAATCAATGAAGAGCACTTTAAAGAATCCTGAGTGGTGTTATACGAAGAAAGAGTTGATACACTGTTTGAAATGTCGGCCTGAGTTGATTAAGAACAAAGCTGAACGTAAGCAGCTTTATGTCTTAGGATTAATTAATGATGTCGAAAGAAATTAAGCAACCATTCCACAACACTCATATATTGGCGGGTGGTTTTCCAAGAGCTTATGGCAATAATTGGTGACGGTTAAGATTATGTTGATTGACGGAGATCTTTTTTTTTCTTTGTTACACTTTTTTCTGACTTTGGATAGAATGTATTTTACATTAAAAATCAATTCAAAATATTTCAACATATAAAAATGTACTGAAAAACTCTACTATGATGAAAATAATTTATACTTGACCGCTTTTTACTCTTTTTACTGAGAGTTGTATGTTTTCTTTTGCAAATATTTTAGGCTGCCAAATATCATGCAATCTTAAACAAATTTGTTATGAAACAAAAATTTTGAAGTTATATTACTAAGTCACATTTCAAATAAAACGAGTTATGACTGAGGATTATTTAATGATGTCGAAATTAATGTTGGAAATTAATTAATTAATTTATGATGTCGAAAGAAATTAAGCAACCATTCCACAACACTCATATATTGGTGGGTGGTTTTTCAAGAGCTTATGGCAATAATTGGTGACGCTTAAAATTATGCTGATTGGCGGTGATCCTTTCTTTTTCTCTTTGTTACAATTTTTTCTTGGTGAACTTAAATTTTTTAGTTTTCGAATGAATGTATTTTGCATTGAAAACCAATTTAAAATATTTAAATATATGAAAATGTACTTAAAAACTCTACTATGATGAAAATACTTTATACTTGATCGCTTTTTACTGAGAGTTGTATGTTTGCTTTTGAATTTATTTATTTTAGGCGGCCAATATCGTGCAATATTAAACAAATTTGTTTCGAAGCAAAAGATGTGAAGTCATATTACTAAGTCACATTTTAAATAAAACGAGTTATGACTGCACTTTAAAATTTGACTAATTGCAAGTTATTTCGATTTAGAAGACGGAATGAACTAGTTAAAATTCAAAAACTAAATGTACTTATCGAGGAAAAATTAATATTACGAAATTTTTGTCAGAATGTGGATGTAACAAAATAACTCCTTAATCTTCAAACCATTTATAATTGCTGTAAGGGACATACAAGCGTTGTTTTTTTCCTTTGTGTCCCTTACAGTACAGTTAATATTACTAAGCTAATATTACAAAATTTTAGTAAGAATGTGGGAGCAACAAAATAACTCCATAATCTTCAAACCAATTATAATTGCTGTAAGGGACCTACAAGCATTGTTATATACCTTTGTGCCCCTTACAATACAGACCCACTGTGAAGATACATTCCCTTTAATTTAACTTGCATTAACTTAACTTTTCAATTTAACTTGTAGAAAAATAAACGTTGTATTTTATTGTTTTTAAATATTTTTTACAGATCCTTATGTTATAGATCCTTTTTTATAAAACGACGCAAATCTTCTCCAAATACACTATTTGAGGAATAGAAACCATTGAATTTAACTTTATTTACTAAATGAAATTGCATGCACTGCAAAAAGTTCCGAAGATAAAATTACGGTAAAAAATATCGCAAATCAGGGAGCCGACACTTTTTACCGTAAAATCCTTTTTTATCAAAATATTTTAAAGAATAAAAACTCTGATAAATCGTAATTTTTACATTGAAAGTTATAATAAAATTACTCTAATTAAATAAATATGTCTGTAAAAATTTCAATTTAATATTTTAGGATAAAAATGGGCCTTACGATAAAATGAGTTTTATGAATGATGCACACAAAGTGGCTGTACATTATAACGTATTTTGATCCGGAATTTTTGATATACAGTTTAAGCAATTTGTTTTAACTAACTGTTGTGCCACAGGTCCCTGGTTCGATCCTCGAACCGGGCAAGATTGACTCACCTTTCATCCCTTCAGTGGATCGATAAATGAGTACCAAGCATGCTTGGGAACAAAACACTGGGGATTCCGCGTTCGGTTGACCACCTGACAGGAACATCTGTTCCCGCATCCCAGAGCTCAAGGTCAAGAAAACTGAGATGGTCACAGTAGGCCTTAACCCTTTATGGGCTATCGCGCCGCTGAGTTTAGTTTTAAATATTGTTAAATTTGATGATTTGAATATTAAATAAAATATTTAGAGAAGGTTTGCGGTATTCTATTACAAAGGATCTATAAAATAAGGATTTATAAATCAAATATAAAATAATAAAATAACATAAAATTTTATGTTTACGGTTATAACTTAAATTAAAATATTATGATTTAATTGATTGTTTTCGAAAGGAAATGTTTTTATAGAAAGACAGTTTTTATAGACTGCAATAGACACAAATCTAAATACCAGTCCTTGTATGTCCATTACAGAAATTATAAGTGGTTTAAAGATTACTTAATTAATTTATCACACCCAATATATTAACTAGCAACGTATAACTTTAGCTTGA